CGATATGAATCAATTTATGATAGCTGGTGTAATTATTAACTTTAAGTTGTTTATTATATTATTCTTCTTTGTTTCTCTAATTTTAATGGTATTATATTTACTGATGCGAAGGTGATAGCCTTGCAATATTACGTGCTGAGCTGAAGAATCAAAAGAAACATGTAAAGAGTCTGAAAAAAAAATCTCTGTGGTCGAGGATTTTAGAAGAGGTAATCAATATACTCAATAATCCTGGTTTTTTTGTGGTTGCCGAGGGCAGACTAGGCTTTCTTATTATGATAGGGACTTCTAATTTTTACATGCAACTGGAGATGAGGTTCTATTCTGTACAGTGAATGTTTAGGGAGTATGTAGTGACTACAAATCTTTATTCTGGGAGCAAGCTAATTTTTCCATGTTGAATTTATGTTAAGGTAATGGAGAAGCTTGTAGACATCGTCCATTTTCTAAATTTGGAGATCCATACCGCATTTGGTAGATCTGGTAATGCATTCAAAATTTTCAGTATATCTAAACTGTTACATTGGTCTTTTGTATGTCCTTGACACTTTTTTCCCCTCTTTTTGTGTGTCATGTTCGTGACCGTTTTGAGTTCTTGTTATTATATCTTCTCCTCTTTCAGTGTTCTTCTTGTTCTCTTACTATCTTAATCCCTTGTTCCCATCATCGAATAACCAAAAATGGGATACAGAAGTGTGCAATATTCGTTCAGATTGTGTGCAATGGGTTCTTGTTTCATTCATTGTTCATGCTTTAAGAATATTAAGTATATGCAGTTCAGTGTTCGAATAATCCAGTAATTCCTGGTTCAATTATTTAACAAGAATGTCTATTTCATTTGTTCATTGGGCGGCTATTGCAGATGGAGATAAGCCTGTAAAAAACGACCACCAAAAGTTAGGATCTGCTGGCCTTGCACTGCATTATGCAACTATCATTACCCAAATAGATACACTTGTGAGTTAGTCATCCTTACCGTAGTTTCAGTTTTATCAGTGAATTTCAGTTCTTGTTTTTGCATTGCTTTCTCTGCCTTTTGTTTACTTGATTGATGCCATATAATTTTTCTCAAGTTGATATTCATTTTCTCAATACTGTTGCTCAGTCTTTGAGGGTGTGAAAATAGTACTCTGCATAGTTATGAGATAACTTGCACTGAATTTAGGGAGTTAGCCTCCTTTTTTTCTTGTCCTGGTTCTGATTTATGGTTTTCCTCGGTATTCAGGTAACTCGATCGAGTTCTGTGCCACCAAGTACGAGAGATGCTTTATACCATGGACTGCCACCAGGAATAAAGTCAGCTCTGCGCAGTAAATTACAATCTTTTCAGCTCAAGGAAGAGGTACTACTTTTCATCTGAACTGTTTCATCGTTAGAGACTTGCAGCCATACACTACTGTGTGATCAAATTCTTACCATTTAAATGATTATTTACTCCTGTTATCTACTAAATATATGTTTACTTTATGTATCTACATAGTTGACTGTTCCACAAATCAAAGACGAAATGGAGAAAACTCTGCAGTGGCTCGTCCCGATGGCCACCAATACAACCAAGTAGAGTGACTCTCCCTGCAAACTACTCTTGATGGGCGTGGATTGTATTAAATGACAATATTTATTCTTGACCCCTTTGTACTTTCATGATTTTTTTATTTATATTGCATTAATTCTCTCTATGAACTGAACATTTACACGTGCATCTTGACTATGTGACATGACTCAAAAACAGGGCCCACCACGGTTTCGGTTGGGTTGGAGAATGGGCAAATACTGGGTGAGTTTGATTCATTTGGTGCTTGGTTTTTCACATATACAATTTTTCTTTTTGTTCTTTTTTCATATAATACTTGGTAATACGTAGGTCTGAGTTGAGCACAAAACCTGCTGGCCTGCCTGATTTACTTCGGATAGAAACACTCCATCACGCAGATAAGGAGAAAACAGAAGCTTACATTCTTGATTTGGTGGTATTGCTTCATCATCTTATCAGTCAATCGAGGGCTGAAAATGTTGGATTTAGATCTCCGGTGAAATCCCCAATTCGATCCCCTAATCAGAAGACAATTCAGTTGTCAACACACAAGCCAAGCTCGCCATCTTCAGCTTCTTTGACAATCGAAGACCACGAGATGCTCCGAGATGTAAGCAAAAGGAAGCTGACTCCCGGAATAAGTAAGAGTCAAGAATTTGATACTGCAAAAACGAGGTTATGCAAGCACCACAGGCTTTGTAAAAGCAGTAGTCATTCCCCAACAAGTGAAACAAAGAAAGATCCTTTCCCCATTAGAAGGCCATCTTCTGTTCCCATCATCGACTTCGACATCGACCGCATCAAAGCATTGGACGTTATCGATCGAGTGGACACAATTTAAAGCTCTTAACGAAATGTTCAGTTATCCATATTGTCTTCTTCACCTGTCCTTGAACCAGGATAAAAAATCGCAGCTGGGGAATGTTGAAGTTGAGTTGTCGTCTGTGCATACTGATTTGCTTGTGAGTTGAAAAATGAAGAGTTAGGCAGATTGCTTTGAAAGAGTGCCTATTGGGCTTTAGTTTTCGTTAGTACGTGTACAGAATGTTCTTATAGTTTTACTAATAATTATTATTCCATTTTTATGTTTTGGCATGTAGGATTTTGTTTAATACCATCATGTCTTGATTCTTGTTCTTTAAATTTAGTTTGCTAAATTTTTTTGGGCAAAAGTCTTTTAGATGATATGATTGAATTCATAGTATTGGGATGGCTAAGAATCGAGCACGTGCATATATTTTAGGCATGCCGGCTGAGCTACAGAAGGGCCACTACAGATTATCACACATTTTGACATCTCTAGTTGAATATGTGTTGACGGCCCCAGAATAATTTGTTTTAAGTACTTGTTTAAAGAGGCATATTGGGAGCTAAGAGATAAGTGAAAAAAGATTAAAGAAGAAAATAACTTATGAGCAGTAGAATTTAAACCATGGTTGATAATAAATGCATGCAATTCATCAAGGAGAAAATAACTTAGGGCCTATTTGATTGATTGGTTCGAATTCCATGAAAAATGGAATTTGAATTCCACATTTTTCCAATTTTGTGTGATTGATATGTTTTATTTTCCATGGAATTGTATTTTCTTGCTTGTATTGGAAATTGGTATTTTCTTGGTTTTCAATATGGTGGGAATTGGTTTTCCGGTTACCGTAGCAATTTTTTTTTATTTTTTTTGGGTTGGCAAAGTTAACAAATTCTAAGAATTATTGCAAAAAAATATTTCCCTTTAATTAACAATTTTTTATGTAAAACAAAGTCAATCGAATACCAAAAGATAGATGATTTTTTTGATTTTTATTTATTTATTATTATTATTATTATTATTTTTGCAATGGAAACAAATTTCATTCCCAATAACAGTAAATTTCATTTCTTTAATTGACAATTTTCATGTAAAACAAAATCAAAAGAACACCAAAAAACACTTTTTATTTCAATATTTTTCACTGGAAAATTATATCAATCAAACACAATAATTTACAATTCCCAGGAAATCAAATTTTAGGCAATTCAATTCCCTAGAATTTCTTTTCAATTCAATTCAATTCCATCTTTACAATCAAACGACCCTTAGGGTAATTATATTTTCACCATAATTTTTATTTCTTGCATCACATTTTAATTACAATTAAGGTTCTTAATCTTTGTTTATTAAAACACTTATGTTCCGAACGATTTTTCATGTCATTTTCACCCTCAAACATTTCATTAGTTAACATAATTTGTAATTGATCACAATTTTATATAAAAATGCCCGTTGAAATAGTACAAAACAACTTATTTTTCCATATGTTTCTAAAAAGTAAAAAGTGCGAAAATTATTTTTTCCTCGCATAAAAGTTTGAAAACAAAATATTTAAACTTGCATTGATATCATTGTGGCTTACCTGTAAATGCATGCTGGTGGTATTAATTAGGTTCAATTAGCTATCACTCGAAGTCAAACTGCAAATTACATAAGGACATTTGCTTTAAACTTCTCGACTGGTTTGAATATGCAGTTTCACTTAAATTGAAAGTTATTGTCGTTTCGTATCGATATTATTAAGGTTCTATGAGTTATTACGCAAAGTCAAATTGTTGTTGTCTTAATTTTTGAAAAATTTTGTGTGTACAGAAATTTTTTCCACAGAATGGTGCCAGAAGTCTCACTGTAGCGCGGGCCCCATGTTTGATATAATATTCCCAAAAATCAACCACCCACCCCCACCATGTGTCTTTTCTGTATCTCCTCTGTAAGTCTATGTTCTGTACATATAGTGAAGCTCTTAATTTTTTGAACACGTCAAGAAATTGGATTTACAAGCTCAAACTGGAGTATATTTATCCATAATAAATTGTACACAACGCGTTAGGCATTGGTTAAACTTGGTATAAAATGGATAGTCATGGCAAATTCTTTAGCTTAGAGGCAACTGCAAGATAACTTGTGATTAATTGTTAGGTAGGAGAAGCATTTCAATGGTTAAGTTATGAACAATGAATTTACCCAACTTTAACATGCTCTTCATTAGTCATATTTTCTCTATTTTACAGAGTAAAAAAAAAGGGATAAAAAAAGAGAAGTCATAATAATAAAAAAAGAAAAAGGAAAAAAGGGAAAATGGAGATGAATAATTGCTTAATGAAAAAGTAAAATGATGAGTGAATATAGAGCGCCATTGGAATTGTGCATAGAGTTTGACTCTTTATTTTTATAAATTCAATAAGATACTTTTTGTATGATAGAAATTCACATTAAAATAAAGAGCAAAATTGGAGATGCTTTATTGTTGAAGGAAACAAATTAAGCCCGGATTAAAATTCGAATTTTAATTTAAGTAAAAATCAATAATTAATTTAAATCGTATATTTCATGAGATTCAATGATTCATGACTTTTCAACTATACATTTCTTCAACTTTTTTAAAATCTATTAAAAATCTGATTTCAATTCCCATCAAACAGGGGCTAAATATATTTATTGACCTAATCTAATTCTATCTAATGCTACATACGAAATTAAATTTTTTTCTTAATTTTCTTTTTGAAATTTCCTTTTACTCAAAATTTCAATACCATATATACTTGGAAAAAGAAGCAAAAGAAAGTGCACCAATTAGTCTCTTGTAAAATTAAAAATTACTTTTAATTTAGCGAGAGTCAAATATTAATTTAATCACACATTCACAACTAATATATATTTATTAACCACACATTTCATGGTGGACAAAATGACCAATCCAAATTAAACTAAATCAGAGCCGAATTGAACCAAACCAGGCGATTCAGTTCTATTCTACAAAAAGATAAAAAATGAAAAATAAATAAATAAATAAATAAATAATAATAACAACAACAACAATAATAGTATTAGTGAATCACAATTCACTCCAAAAATTTCAAAATTCAATTGAAGATCAGAATAAAAAGATCATGTACTTTCGATTTCTCAATTTGAAGACCCAAGCCCTAATTCATTCCTCTTTTTCTCTCAGTTTTAATATATGCACCAACTCTTAAAGGGAGACCAACAATTATCATATGTTGTCTGTCGTTCCGCGCAACTACTACTGTCGCATGGATTTCTAAAATTGAAGCCTCAACCTTCGATTCTTCTTTCTCAATTTATTTATTTATTTTTTATTTTTTGCTCAATGAATAATAAAACCAGAACCAAACCAAAATCAAGAGGTTCAGTTCCGGTTTGGTTCCTTATTTAAAAAAAAAAAAAAAAAAAACCATTTAGTTCCATTATACAAAAAATCGTTGGTCCATGGTTTGGTTCAATTCTCTGCGAACCAGAACTAAATGAAATCATGTCGACCACTAATGGCACCCAATACTATTCCTGCTAAAAAGTTACTAATAATTTTATACGAACATTGAATAATTTTACTCTTAATTTTTTTTTTTAAAGAACATCTTAGTTAGAATCGAGATTATCTTTAAATTTAAAAAGCATCTTCTTTTATGAATTCCGCAACCTACATATTTAATTTTCTCTTTACTTTTTCCAACTAACAATTATGCCCTTTTTTGTCATTTATTATTTCACATTCTATCACATTATTTTTTCTACAATACTCATTTTCAATCACACATTTTTCATTAAAATAATATTACATGCAAATAAAAAAAAAATTCCTGTTTTTTTAACCACTCATTCTCCATCAATTTACTATTCCATAATATATTTTTCAAAATTAAAAGGGCTCAAACACACCCTATATCTTTTCCATCAATTTTCAATTATGTATATATGTTTTAATACTGATAGTTAAAATATTCAATAAAATATGAATAATAAAGTAATGACATATTGGAACTTGTAATTTTTATAAAATGCAATCATGATAAAAATGAATAGTGTCTCTATTTTAAAAGTCTATTGAAGGTAAATTGAGGAAAAAGTTAAAATACAGAGAGTCGATAAAACCCTAAAGGAAATATGAGGTTAGCCTAGAAAATGAAGAAAACAGAAGACTATCGGTCTCTAAATTGACTTCAATTGTAACTTCAAAGCATAGCACAAGAATAGCGGAACAAATCTTGGACAAGCGGTAAAATATGAAGTAGGCATCTTAGGAAGAGCAACATCGTTAATTTTTCCTATTCTCTCTCTTTGTGAATGGTTAACCAGGTAACTTTCTACAATTTCAGTCCATCAATCTCTTTGTCCTTAAACAACAACCTCTTCTCATTCGACAAGAAAACAAACCACTGTTTTTTCTTTTAATTTCTTGAACTTTTTTGCTGGAGTATCCTTCCTTTCTTTTCTTGGATACGCCGGCAATATATATAAGTAAACTTAAAAGCATAAAATTCCTTTATTGTGTGTATATATATATCTTTATATCTTTATCTGTTCCTATATATTATATATTCATGGTTTTCATCGAAGATCCTCGGCCTCATTCAGCGGATAGTTATGTTCAAACTGAGCCTCATGAACCAGTAGTTACATCAAATCCATTAAAAAAGTTAGCAATTGTAGCATCAATAGCAGCCGGGGTGCAATATGGATGGGCGTTGCAATTATCACTTTTGACACCATACACACAACTTCTTGGTGTACAACATGCTTGGGTATCCTTTGTTTGGCTCTGCGGCCCAATCTCTGGCTTGGTATTCCAACCCACAGTTGGGTATCATAGTGATCGGTGCACGTCCCGTTTTGGGCGGCGCCGCCCATTTATCGTGGCCGGAGCTATCCTCCTCTCCTTTGGGGTACTTCTCATTGGCTTTGCGGCTGATATAGGCCGAGTTTTAGGCGATTCACTTATTTCCGGGAGTAAACCTAGAGCCGTTGCTTGTTTTGTGCTGGGCTTTTGGATTTTGGATATAGCGAATAATATAATACAAAGTCCTTGTAGAGCGCTTTTGGCTGATCTTTCTGAAGGTAATGATGCAATGGTGACAATTGGAAATGCGCTTTTCGCCTTTTACATGGCTGTAGGGAATATCTTAGGCTATGCTGCAGGTGCATACTTGAATATTTATAAGATTCTTCCAATCACAAAAACTGAAGCTTGTGACATCTACTGTGCAAACCTAAAAACGTGTTTTCTCATCTCTATTCTCCTCATAGCAGTCATAATCACATTAGTTTGTGTTACAGTTAAGGAAGAAAGGCTTGATCCTTCTAATTTAATGCAATACAAACAGGGCGTTAATGGGGAAGAAGAAGCCCCATCACTTTTGACTCAACTGAGCACAGCCATTAGGAGTATATCAAAGCCAATGAAAATCTTATATGTTATAACAGCGCTTACTTGGGTAGGGTGGTTTCCATTTATACTGTATGATACAGATTGGATGGGTAAGGAAGTGTTTGGAGGAAGTCCTGTGGGTGATCCATTGCAAATTAAAATGTATGATCAAGGTGTACGAGAAGGTTCGTTGGGATTAATATTTTATGTGGCCATGCTTGGTGTTGTCTCTTTGTTCATGGAGCCAATTTTGAGGTATCTTGGGAGTGTAAGACGTGTTTGGGGCATTGGGAATATGATACTTGCAGCTTGTATGGGATTAACGTTTTTGATCACAAAAATGGCCGAGGATGCTCGACAAACTGCTCTCAATAATGAAAATGGATCTGCACTTATTCCCCCGCCTCTTGAAGTGAAAGCGTCTTATTTTGCTCTTTTCACAGCCTTGGGTATACCTCAAGCGGTAAGTCACTTCTTGATCATCGACGTGTCTATGTAATATTCGTATCTATTTCTTATTGCTTCTGTCAAACATGTCACATTTTAAGCCCACTAATTCGAGACAAATAGTCATGCCGTGTTAATTAGTCAACTATTGAACATGGATGTCACATTTTGGGCATACTAATTTTATTTGACACAGGCCGTGTTAATCGCCTCAGGTTCGAATTAGTCACCCTATGAAGATCAACATGTCTCATTTTGAGTCTACTACTTTAATTCACAATGACTAGTTGTGTTAGTTAATCACATATTATACACATCAACTGATCAACATGTCACATTTTAAATCCACTAATTTTATTCAACATGGGTTGTATTAGTCACTTCACATCTCGAGACCACCAATTCAACTCAAGATGAATTGTTTTAGTTATGTGATGCAAAATGAATTAGGCTTTATAGAAAAGTGGGATCGGTGTAAGCAGATGCCACTTCCTGATTTTTCGAGAATTTTGATTTTGTCCATTTTTGGCGAAATTTTAGTTAAATTTAATTGGAAATGAGCCAATGAACAAGACTCAGGAGCTTTGGTCTTGATGTAGGCCCAATTTTGAGAAAATCCCTTCATTTAGGCATTCGTTTAAGGATTTTTTTTTTCATTTTTTAGTAAATTTTGTTTTTGTTATATCTCTATCAATTTAAGTCATATTTGAATTCCATTTTTTGGAGGATAACTCTTAAGGTTACAACTTTCAATTTTAGTCATTATCTCGATTTTTTCTATTTAAAAAAAAATCTTTTTTATTATTTTATTATTTTTTGAATTTTCCTATATAAAGCAAAGTAAGTCCTTCGTGGTTGTATTGATTGATAGAAATAAAATCATCATATAAGATCTGTTCAACTTTCCTATAACTTTTTGCTACGTCAGTTAGTATCAGAGTTACGTTTGTTCCTTCACCATGCCACCAAGGAGACTTGTAGAAGCTAATGAATCCTCGATAGAGAAGGTGAATAGACGTGATGAGATTGCACAGCTGTATCAACAAGTAGATTTCTTGACCTAGCAAATCGTTGTACTCACACCACAGCAACATGCGCCTATGGTCAACTGCTTAAGGATTCTGAAGATTAAAATTCATTTGCACACTTGATCATCTAATAGATCTACCAGTTCGACAGAGAGGAGGTGACCATGAGGAGAATAGGAGTTGGGAATTAGGGTTCAAGATTAATATCCCTGAGTTCCATGGTTGATTAGGTCCAAAAGAATTCTTGGATCAGGTGATTGTAGTGGAAGAGGTTTTGGAATTTAAGGAGGATCTTGTTGGTAAATGTGTGCCTCTCCTTGCGACAAGATTTCATGGATGAACAAGGGCCTGGTGGCAACAGACAAAGGTAACAAGGTCTAAATTAGGGAAGAAAAATATTGCATCTTGGGGATAAATTAAAGAAGCACATGAAGAAGCAATTTCGACCCTCTAATTATGTCCGGACCATGTATCAGCGATTGCAGAATTTTTGTTGAGGTGTGAAGATGGTTGATGACTATACAATGGAGATTTACATGCTAATTACCAAAAACGAGGTGATAGAAATGAAGGAATAGTTGGTGTCGTGATATGTGGGTGATAGTTTCTGAGGCATATCAACGGGTGATACAAATAGGGAAGCTACAGTCCAGGCAAAATATAGGTCATTTCACTACAAGGGATTCTTCCAATGAACCATAGCAGTAGAAAACTCACCTTGGTATCCTAGTCAAAGTAGTTCTTCTAGAATAAACCGTGTTCAACAATCAATACGTCTTGTATGTGGTATTCGTTGTTTTACTTGCAGAGGTATGGGTCAAAGACCATCTGAATATCCCAAACATTCAGAGAAATGACTCTTTGTTGATGAGGGGTATGGAGATTATGAGGAGGCACCTGTATTTGACAATGGAGACGTTGAAGAAGCAATAGAGGATGAGAAATTTGAATGCTTGTGATGTGGGTCAAGTGTTGGTGGTGAGACGGAGTTTTTTTTGACTCCTCTAGAAAGTAAGGGTGACTGGTTGCGAAATAATATCTTCCAGTCTACATGTACTATTGGGAGAAGGATCTATAAGTTTGTTATTGACTCTAGAAGTTACGAGAATGTAGTGGCTGATGAGATCGTTAAGAAATTGGATTTGTAGACTGACAAACATCCCAAATCATATAAGTTGACTTGGTTCAAGAGAGGTAACAATATTGAAGTATCCCACCGTGCTCTAATCAGTTTTTCCATTGGACCTATATACAAAGATCAAGTTTTGTATGATGTGGTGGAAATGGATGCACGCCATTTGTTATTAGGGAGACCATGGCAGTTTGATTGACACTTATTACATGATGGATATACCAACATGTACAGTTTTCTGTTTGGGGAGAAGAAAATTATGTTGCTACCCGACAAGAGCCCAGCAAAGATAGTTGGAGAAAGTACCAATTTATTAACCAGAATTTGAGATGGAGATGGCAATTAATCGAAATACTGGCTTTAGTCATTTTCACGTGGTGTATGGCCTTTTTTCTCGTAGTTTTCTTGATCTGGTTTCAATTTCAACTATTGTTAAGATGCATGGTAAAGCAAAGGACTTCATTAAGCATTTGCAGCAGGTTCATTTACAGACTTATGATCATTTGTAGGCTGCTGTTACTAAATATAAGCATGATGCGAATCTTAAACGTCGTCAGGTTGAGTTTGAGGTTGGTGACTTTGGGCGGTGTTGACAAATAATCGTATTCCTGCTCATAAATATACTAAGCTTGTTGCAAGGAAAATTGGTCCATTGTAGATCATTGAGAAGATCAATCCCAATCATACCATTTGAAGCTATCCAATCACATTCGTACATCTAATGTTTTTAATGTCAAGCATCTGGTGTTATTTCGTAGTGATAATTCTGACGATGATGTTACTTCCCCGCCAAATTTGAGGGCAAATTTTTCTCAATCAGGGAGAATGATGTGGTGCAAAAAGAATTAGATTGGAAACGAGCAAATGAAAAAGAATCAAAAGCTTTGCTCCTGAAGTAGGCCAAATTTCGGGCAAATTCTTTCATTTAGACCTTTGTTTAAACATTTTTCCTTTTTTGATAAATTTTGTTTCGGTTATATCTCTATTAATTTAAGTCGGATTTGAACTTTGTTTGTTGGAGGATAACCTTTAAAATTAGGACTTTCAATTTTAGTCATTATCTCGATTTTTTTCCATCTTTGCAAAAAATAAAAAAATAAAATAAAATCTTTTTTTAATTAGTTTTTTAATTTTTCCTAATTTTCCTAGGGTTTTTCCTATATAAAGTATAGTAAACCTTTTGTGGCCATGTTAATTGACAGAAATAAAAAAAATTTCATGAATTTTTTTATCTTGTAAGATTTGTTCATCTTTCCTAAAACCTTTCGTTACGTCATTTAGTAACCTACTGAACATCAAAATGTCACATCTAAAGACCACTAGTTCAACTCAATATGAGTCATGTCACCTCTTGAACACAAATATTTCACTTCAACCAATCCATTTTTCACTTTTCAATTGAAATGTTTGAGTAAGTTAATTTGTACTTGTTTTGCAATTCTGCAGGTCACTTACACCATTCCTTTCGCTCTAGCTTCCATATATTCCAACAATAGTGATACCGGTCAAGGTAAGCTTTCAATAATTATTTTGCATTAATTAAGAATAATGCTTTCTAGCATTCGTGGTGCTAAAACACCAGTCTAGGTATAAGCATATGATATGTCCTAATAAATAAGTCATAAATCTTTGTATTTAATTGAACCTATATTTCAATAACACAAGTGATATAACTTAGACCGGTGTTAGACACCAGTGATGTTAAATAACATTATTCATTCATTAACGGCAAAAAAAATTAGCATAGTTTGTCTAATTTAATATATTTTGGGTGTTTGAGTTTCTCAAGGGCTCGCGTTGGGACTTCTAAATCTTGCCATTGTAATTCCACAAGTAAGTATCATTCCATTCTTCAATATTTATAACCATATACTTCACGTTCTATATTTAGTATTAGGCACGACTATACAATATATTGTTAATTTTTTATTCTTCTTCAACAGTCAAAACTTTCCTGTGTGCTATATAGTACTTTCAATCGAGATAAAATGATTAAAAATAGCATTTCAAATCCCATATTCTATGATGCTAAGTTTCTTTTATCATTAGACGCGACTTAAGGTCTTGTTTATAATATTTATTAAATTTTAAGTTTACAGTATTAGGGATATTTTTGATTTTTAAAACAAGACTCGGAACTTGGAATTTTGATTCAACTTCAGTGTTCTTCTATTAATGAATACTTAGTTGAACATTATAAACAAATGCTCATCCGTGGATTGACAATATTAAGTTATAATTAATGACAAAAAAAATTAGCATAGTTTGTCTAATTTAATATATTTTGGGTGTTTGAGTTTCTCAAGGGCTCGCGTTGGGACTTCTAAATCTTGCCATTGTAATTCCACAAGTAAGTATCATTCCATTCTTCAATATTTATAACCATATACTTCACGTTCTGTATTTAGTATTAGGCACGACTATACAATATATTGTTAATTTTTTATTCTTCTTCAACAGTCAAAACTTTCCTGTGTGCTATATAGTACTTTCAATCGAGATAAAATGATTAAAAATAGCATTTCAAATCCCATATTCTATGATGCTAAGTTTCTTTTATCATTAGACGCGACTTAAGGTCTTGTTTATAATATTTATTAAATTTTAAGTTTACAGTATTAGGGATATTTTTGATTTTTAAAACAAGACTCGGAACTTGGAATTTTGATTCAACTTCAGTGTTCTTCTAAATCAACAGAATTCTTAATCAAATCAATATTTCAATTAGTGAATACTTAGTTGAACATTATAAACAAATGCTCATCCGTGGATGTTTTGATCTTAAGTTCGTCCCATTTTCTATGGCTAATTTCCTGCATCATCTACCAGGGTAAAAGTTTGATTAACAAGTTAATTATAATGTTGAAACAGATGTTAGTGGCCCTAATAAGTGGACCGCTGGATTCACTATTTGGAAGCAGCAACTTGCCAGCCTTTACTATGGGAGGTATTGCAGCTGCACTGGGTGGAATTTTAGCTATGAAAATGCTTCCAGGAAATGACTCAGTGCAGTGAGATATTGAATTTTTATGGGCATTAGCATATAAATGGAACATTTAATTATGTAGAAAGGCTTAAGAAAAAGTTGATTTGAATAAACGAGGGGTACTAGGTTTTCGATAACATTATTAATGTTGGATTCATCAAATGGCTGCCATTAATTTTCTTGGACTTTCTTCATCTATGGTGATGAATTCCACCCAGATGGTTTGTTTTCTTCTACACGCATTTTGGTTATTCTTTTGTTGTAATTTCTTCTTTGTCATTTTTATATGTTTGCAAATCTTGTTAGTATGCCAACTATTTACATATTTTAATTATATGCAAATTAATTAATGAATTTTCACACTCATATTTGAATTGTCCGTTTATTTTTCTGTCAATATTTCTCTACGTATTTTGCGTCATTGTAAGAATTAAAAGTGGTGAAATGGGAAAAACTTTTGATTCAATTTTGAATTGCAATCTCTTTTTCCGTAGAACTCAATTTAATTATCTTTCTAATGGTATATCATTTATCCTGTGAAGATCATAGTAAACTTTGTGCATTAATTTTCTCACAAACTCGGCGTGTAGGTTACTCGTTTCATATCCTTTGATCTTTTTATACTTCAAATCACTTCCTTTTACGTCAATCAACTTCGAATATGGATTTAACTACAACACAGTATATACACTAATATGAGTAGAAATCAACTCAATTAATCAAATATAAAGAGAGTGTTTGATACCCATTTTCATGTAAAAATACATTTTAGAATAGTAAATTGATGGAAAATGTGTAGTTGAAAAATAAAGAAAAGTTTTTGATTTATATGTAAATTATTTTAATGAAGAATGTGTGGTTGAAAAGAAGAGAAAAAAATGTATTTTGAAAAAAATAGATACCAAACGGGGCCTAAGCCTTTGTTTGACCCTAATTATTTTTAAATTTTCAACTACATGTTTTTCAATAAAATAATATTACATACAAATTCAACTTTTTTTCTTATTTTTTAACCAAATATTCTCCATCTATCTATTATTCCAAAATACATTATTAACAAAAAATGAGGGCAAAACATGCTCCAAGTAAATTTATAAATCTAAATAAGCGTGTACAACACTTAAACAAGAAAATCTTACTCTTAATAAAACATTTGAATGAACAATTTTGGTGAAAAATTTCAGTTTTATTATGCTTGATTGTTTTGTTAGAAATTACACTAAAGCATATAAAACATGAGTATAATAAAACCTCTCTTGTAAATTAGTTAAATTTAAAAATTGACCTAATATATAACCCCATAAACAAATAAGAAATTTATTTTAATCTAACTGGTAGCTGGTATTATTAATTACGTTTCATAAAACATATTTTTTGTCATACAGTTTCAGAGATTCATAAGTACTATCAACTATAATAATCATTAGTCTTTATTTATAATTTAAATTAATAACAATCACCTATCAAACATGAGCTAACATATTTTATACTTGGTTTTTTAAAATTTTTATTCATTGAACGGAAATTATTTATTAGATGATGACAATTAATAGTTTCCATTTATTTATTTTTTAATGTTGGAAAAAATTCACTTGAATTTTTTTTTTTCAATATTTTCCAACATATTATTAATTTAATAAAATTTTATTTTCTATTTTTTCAAGTTGTAGTTTAAAGAAAATGACTTCACTCTAAAGAAGGCCATTTAAAAATTAAAAAAAAATTTAATGAATATCACAAACTTTTGGTAATTAGATTTTAAAGAATAATAGAATAGTTAAACAAACGGCAGACAATTTAATATATAGATGGGTGATTTGTTACATCCAATTAAGGGTATTTTGAACCATTTAGCTACTTATAATAGAAAATTCTTAATTTTGTAACCAAAATATGGTTTTTTATACTATTAAGTAAAAAGTAGTTTGTAAATATAATCTAGAAAAATAAGATATGTAAATTAAAAATTCACCATAAATGCAGAATGCATTTTATACATTTCTGAAAACTATAGAAATAAACGTTTTTCTTATTATTTAGAAAAATAAATAGAATATCACAAAGCTAAACGTATAAAGTTCAAACTAAATTCACCATAAAAGATGCATTTTATAAATTTCTAACAACTATAGAAATAAATGCTTTTCTTATTATTTAGAAAAATAAATAGAATTTGACAAAGCTTAACATATAAAGGTCAAACTAATGACCACAGCATATATTGTAAAGAATAGAAATTCTAGCCCCCCAGGGCACATCCGAGTTGGTAGAACAATCACTACGGTGGGCTTACAACCTCCGCGTGGAGAGTTTGATTCCTGATCAACGCAATAAGGAAGATTCTCTTGGGGTCAGGAGTAAAAACTAAGTGGGAACTTGGGAGCCAATAAGGGCATAACCTGCGATTTACCTCCTCGAGTCACTGAGGGGCCGATGGCTAGAGGTCCAGGATTTAGTCTGGCGAAGTTGGGATACCTGGGTAAAAAATAAAAATAAAAAATAAAATAGAAATTCTAAAGATAGACATCAAGGTCTAATCAGTAATCACCACGTCTACATTGTAAATATACTATTAAAAAACGTAAATACGCAGTCAAATTTTGTAGAGCATCCATGCATTTATACTTAGAAAAATGCATAGAATTTCGTGGAAATGATTTGATTTTAAAAATAAAACATCAAGTGGCTTACCAGTCATTAGAAAGTGTTTGATAAAGAAATAGAAATTGAAACTTTCCCTTTGTTAACATGTCTGTGGCAAAGCTTGATAGAAATTTTGTAACAACTAAATAATTAGGTCTTATGTAATAAAAAAAAATGGAAGAAAAAGAAAAAAAGTAGGTCTTGAAATATATTTTTGTTTATTTAAATTGAAAGCAAGCAAGTTATATAATTTGATTCCAATTAACATTTGCGAATGAAATTATGTTATGAAGAATCATCATCGGCTTTTCAGATTTTTCCATGGCCGCCAGCATTAGAGAGGGATCTAGAATATTATTGAATAAATTTTCCTCCATTGCCCTACTAGAATTCTCAAGACAAAGGAAGGCGGCAATTCCACTAAATCTTCTGCCTATATATATGCGTTACTATATATGTATAGTATGCGTATGCAGAGAAAGAGAAATAGAGGAAGGAATTGCGTATAAGTGGTGAGAGAAAGAGAGGCAGCGCGCGCGCGCACACATACATACATACATACATACATACATA